AAGAAAAAAGAAGAGAAGAAGGAGGAAATGTATGCCTCTTCATTTACTGGTGCGGTGTAGGCAGAGATCCTTTAGTGTGCCTTGCCTTTCAAGAGTTCATTTAAAATGAAAGAGGATGAACAATGAGAATAACTCCATTTTAATTTTTTTTTCTTTTTTTTTCTTTTTTTTTTCTCCAGCCTCTGTTGCTGCCTTTCAGATCTTGAGTGCCTTTGTACATTTACTCCTGAGCTGGATAATTATAACTTTGCATTTCACCCATCTGACTTGTGTTTTCCACTTTCACCCATACTTCATCTCTGCAAATAGCTCTGTTACTCATGGCTGATTATCAACCATTCCTCTGCGTGTCTGACCCATTTGAATAGCAGAAGACATCTCCACATGAAGCAGAGGCTCTTACATCCCACCCTCTGATTGCACAGCAAACTACTTTTGAAGATTACACAGTAATGTATAACTAATACTCCCACAAAATACAGCCCTCATCTTACAGGCACACTGATTAAACCCATGAGAGCTCACATGTACAAGACCTCCAGTAAGTTTTTCCCTCACAAGCAATGCTTTACAGTGTCTGAAGTTTCCTCCTGATTTGTAACTCTTCTTCTACAGAAAATAGAGGAGCATGCAATAGTTCTGCAATTACGTGGTAAGAATCAGCCATGTAACAACTGTACTTTCAGCCAGAACAATGAACGCAATCATGAAGCAATTAGTGCAGATGGCAGATGGTTTGCTGCTCTTTTTTTTTTTTTTCCTCAAGACTGGCAGGAAAAACTCACGACTGAATAAGGGACTGGCCTTTCAACAGTGGTAATTCAAGTCTGCTGCCCAAGGCAGACATGGAGGAGAGATGTGAACAAAAGCAACCAAGTCACTGAAGCTTAATGAGTTATGGCTCATCAGCTGAACTCCAGTAATTAACAACATTCACTTGCACACAACACACAAGAAACTGGATTGTAAAATGATTTCAGTTAATACAGACTTCCCTACCATTTAGTAAATCTCTATTCAACCAAACAAAAAAGATATGTGATGCTTATCATAGTGATAGACCCAGCAGGCTGTAAAGAGACTGAGAGATGATGCTTTGTGACCCATTTCCTGTTCATTACAATCGAGCAATAAGAGGCATGCCCTACTTGTTGAATTTGCCCTCAATCAGTACTAAACTATTTGAACCACTCCTGAGAGTCACAGTTCATTCCCAATTTGATTCCTGCCTCTTCAGCACTTGCTCTATTCACCATCTGATTTTCCTGGTTCCACCTGCTACAATGACAAGATACAAATGATGTTATGAGAACTTTGTTTGCTGGAAGGATGTAAACATGCTTTCTAATTGACTCTTAACTTCCTTCTGATTGCCAGGAACAATATTAAATGAATCTGAAACCTCTACAGCCTCTTCAACCCCATGCATAGCATCAAAATCCATGATACGATAATGCCAATTTCTTACCATCCAGATATGTTTCCTCTATTTCCTTGATCAGTGTGCACACAGTGCCTGAAATCCAGAGAGTAACAGTTCTCTTTCCTTAAATACAGCCTTAACAAAAACACACAAACTAGCAAACTGCAACATCACTTGTTCCAAACTACCCAACAGTTCCCATTGCGGTTATCTTCATAGTCACAGGACTACACAATTACTCTGAGAGAATTCTGCCTCTGGTTATATGAGAATGAAACCAAAGGGAACCATTTACACTTAGACATGGACAGAATTTGACCCTTAGTTTGAGTTACATTTAATTAAGTCCAAGTTGATCAATACTTCTTTTTTTGGTTACCCTCTGCAAGCTCACCGAAGTCAGAAAGTATTTCCATTAGGCTTTTAAGTCGAAAACAGGCTTATGACTCACACATATATGGAGGACTTTTGAAATTCTACTTTAGAGTTAATTAATATATATATATATAGAGAGAGACCTTTGCTACATTATTTTCTTCTTGCAGCAAAAACACTGTATTCCCAATGGTTTTCCGATTTGCTAATCAATGCCCTAACACAAAGAGAATTTACCTGCATCCTCTCACCAGAAGCACCGTATGTACTCATCTCACACACACTCCACAAATTCAGGTTCACACACAAAAGGGAGCTTTGTTTCTACATCCAGTTTGGGTTTTTTAAAATTCTGAATAAAAGGAAGGAGTAGGAGTTTCATGCAGAACAATGAAATTATACTTCCTGGTAGCCATCTGGAGTACTATGTCCAGGTCTGAAGCCCCCAGTACAAGAAAGACAGGGAGCTGTTGGAGAGGGTCCAGAGGAGAACCACAAAGATGATCAGGGGGCTGCAGCACCTCCCCTATGAGGACAGGCTGAGGGAGCTGGGCTTGTTCAGCCTGGAGAAAAGAAGGCTGCATGGTGACTTCATTGCAGCCTTTCAGTATCCAAAGGGAGCCTACAAACAGGAGGGGAATCAACTCTTTGAAAGGGTAGATAACTGCAGGATGAGGGGAAATGGTTTTAAGTTGAGGGAGGGAAGATTTAGGTTGGATGTAAGGGGGAAGTTCTTTACAGGGAGAATGGTGAGGTACTGGAACAGCTGCCCAGAGAGGTTGTGGATGCCCCATCCCTAGAGGTGTTCAAGGTCAGACTGGATGGGGCCCTGGGCAACCTGGTCTAGTATTAAATGAGGAGGTTGGTGGCCCTGCATGTGGCGTTGGGGTTGGAGATTCATGATCCCTAAGGTCTCTTCCAACCCTGGCAATTCTGTGATTCTGTGATCTACCGTAAATTAGATGACTATTAGCTGTACAGGCTCTAATTCAGAATTATTTTCTCAACAGGATGTTGATCACAACACCTGAAATTCATTTTCTGCTATACCTTAGTTCTATCTGACAGATTTACGTCCAGAAGTTTCATTGATCCTTACGTGATAAATCTCCTTTTCCTGACACATGGTAAGTTTAACTCCAAAGGGTCCTAAAAGGCAGCAGAGACAAAATTCTGTTCTGTTTCATATCAGCCTGGGGAATTCATCAGCCACAGGGGAAAGAAAATATTTTCATTTTGCCTAATTCCATACTGAACACCTATTAATCACTTTATCTACACCTTTCTCTGAAACAGATTACAACCATGGTACAATCTCCAAAATGCTATGAGAGAGGTAAGTGTACACAACACTCAGCATAATTCTATATGGTGTAGAATTGAATTAAGCAGGCAAAATGCATTTCCTTTTCAATTTTGAAAGCTACAGGACTTGAATGGTACTGTGCTTAAAGCACAGGACTGAATGTTTATTCCAAGAGTTCTCGTAAACTCATTGTGACCTCAGCTAATTAATTTATTTCCTCAGGCTTACAGTTATTGTAATTACAAACCTAATTTAGGAAAAAGGAAGAACAACTGTTTAATGTTTATATAATTAATTCAAATGCTAACATGGAAGACATCTTAGTATTCAAACATTCATGTTGATATCTACATTAATGCATAGACTAAAAATTTATCCAATACCTGGATTATTGATTAGATTCAAAGCCTTCTATATTACTGATTTGTAAACCAAAAAGATGATTGTGCCAAAATACTTCATTCTGTTATCCCTTCTGGGAGCTCAGCAAATTATTTAGGTCTGTTTTCCAGTTTTATTCAAAAACATCAAAAACTTGGCACGTGAAATCCACCACTTCTGAGAACAGTTTGCTGCAGTGCTCAGACACTTCACAGTAACTGCCATTGACTCTCAGTCATTAGTCCTAGTTACAAGTTCTTTTGCTAGATCAAAAAGCTTACTCAAATGCTGTCTTCCCCTTGAAGAAAGACATTTATGCACAACAATATAACATCACAAAGCAGTTTGAGTTGGAACAGATCTTTCAATGTCTCATATTTTTACCCTCCCTGCTGTGGGCAGGGAAATCTTCCAGTAGATGAGGTGCTTTGGGCCCTATCCAATCCGACCTTGAACATTTTCAGGATGGGGTACCCAGAACTTCTCTGAGCAGCCTGTTATATTGTCTTACTACTCTCAGTAAAGAATTTCTTCCTTATGTCTAATCTAAATCTATTCTCTTCTATTTTAAAACTATTATCACTTGTCCTATTACTACAGACCCTTGTGAAATTAAAATCTCTCCATCCTTTGTATAAGCCCCTTTAAATATTGAAACATTACAATAAGGTCTGCCCAGTGCATTCTTTTCTCCAAACTAAACAACTCCAACATCCTCTTACATTTCCCTTCAATCTCCGTTTTGGAGTACAACACAGATTGAGCACTATGAGGTTCTTCAAAGGAAGTGACTGACTTGTGCATGTTGATGTGTGTTTTTCAGAAGCTGCTAACAATGAGGTCTCTTACAGTTAAGTCTTATTCTGGTATCTCAAGCTGAACATCAGAAAATCAAGGCAAATTTCACAGCAAATTTATTCAGCAGATGGACTGCCCATGCTGAAGTAACTGGCCTTCAAAAGAAATTGATTCATTGCTACATTTTTCTTTGAAAATATGCCAACAAGATAGGAACAAGCAATGTCTTATACTGTTCTTGGAACAAGTGCCAGAATAGAGTGAGAGAAGTGTTGACTATGAGGAGAAATAGTCACATTAGAGATTGCTTTTCTTATTGTGAAGGGTCCCAGCTGAATTCTCTTCCCATTACCTGTCACATGATATTGCAAAAAGGACCGATGAATAAAGGCAGGCTGACAAGTCAGGCATATGTCCTTTACCTTTGTCTTACAGATCACAGTATTGTAGGGGTTGGAAGGGACCTCTGGAAATCACCTACTTCAATCCCCTGCTAGAGAAGTTCCCTACAGTAGTTTGTACAGGAAAACATCCAGGCAGGCTCTGAGTATCTCCAGAGGAGATTCCATGACCTCTGGGCAGACCATTCCAGGGATCACGGCTTACTCAATGTCTCCTACTGGAAATACCAGCTCAGTTATCCCCAAGACTATCCTGAATTCTCTGTAACAGTTAAGTAGAGAGCAAATAAAACAAAATGCTGGCAACAATTCTTACCTTTTGATCTTGACTATATGCTAAGATCCAGTCTTCCTGCTTTGGGTGGAAGAGCAGACTGTGAATATAGAAGTTCAGACGGTATTTTTGATATGTGGCACCTTCATCAGTACTAATCAGTAAGCTGCTCTCAATCTCTGGATCAGTCAACAGCATAATCTGTATGGAAGAGAAAGATCAAAATACAGTGTTGAAAAGGAGTCAGAAGAGAGGAATTTCAGATAATCTTAATAACTATGTCTGTTTCAATATGCTTCAATGCAGTATCAAAACTAAGCGCAGCCAATCTTTCAATATGGGAAACAGTGTATTTGAACTATAAACATTTAATGTACAATCAAATAGGGAAAATAACTATCACTTGTAAATACAGACCCAGATGATACACTTCAGCTATCAGAAAAAAAAAATCAAACCTGAGGTTTGTGACATAAGAGTAAGAATAAGTTACTAAACAGCCACAATAGGCTGTTAGGGACTTCACAAATGATCTTCTGGAGTAGCAGATTAAAAGTAAGGTGTTAAGAAAATGAAAGTAACATACAAATGAAACAAACTCTAACAGTGAGATTTGTTAAAATCTGGCAGAATTTTCAGAGAAGACGGCAGTTTCCTTGCCTAAAACATTACAACTTCTCTGTCTGCAAGAAATATCTTGCTTTGGCAGGAGAACACATGATAATGCTCTAGGTTCTTTGCATTTCCAGTTTCTATGATACTGTGAATTAGGGATACACTTGCTGCACAAATAATTTCTGCACAGCAAAGTTGCTTCCTAGCTTTGTCCAAGAATGAAGATACATGGCTTGCAGTTGTCATAGCTACTTCTCTGTATGGGATTAATTGGTCTGCATTGCTGATGAATCAGAGAGAATGAGAAAATTCTCTTACGCATCTCTGCATGAGAGAGAATATATAGGTTTGAATATTACAAAGAGATCATTTCAGTATTTCAACAAGCAGGAAATAGTGCCCATCAGGTGTGGAAATGAAGTATCATGAATGACAAACATGAAAAATTCTGAATATCTGCCTGGGAAGGTACTAAAGCCTTTAATCATTAGTATCATTTAAATTTCATTTCATTCATTCATTTATTTTAAGTATTGGTGCTGCTGTTGCTGATCCATCTTTAGATGAGTCTGAAATGAAAGGACCATACCCATTTCTCAGACTAAATTCCTACCCGGTTTAAGCGCTGCAAAAACACACTTTTCATTTCTATGTCTTTAGTTAGGCAGGTGGACTTATGTACAACAACTTGTTACCTATGAATTATAGAGCACCATAAGTCCTGATAGACACAGATGTTAATTAGTTGTATGTGAAGGTATAAATACACCTATGTCCTTCATTACTGGATAACCGCCAGAGGCTTTTATCTACGTCTAGAAAAACGATTTGGCTTGTGACTTGGAAGGTTAGGTGTTTCCTTCAAACTTGCAAGAATTTAGTATCTTCAGTGACCTTAGACAAGTTGTACTGCCTTGCCATACTTTAATGTAAAATAGGATAATATTCCCATCATAACCCTAAAGGCATTATCTCCTTTTGGTATCTTTGATCTACTTTTGAAATCATACAATGAAAACATGCACTATTAAAATTAAACATTCATATTTTAATTTAATACTTTCAAATACATCAAGTATATAACTGATGTGGATTCTAAACTGAAGATTACATGACAGAGGGTACACAGAAAGCATTAATATTCAAATCATCAATATATAGACCATTTACTTTCAGTAAGTTATCTATCTAGCTTGGTAAGTCAAAAATTAACAGTGATGTTTATTAGTTACTTTTTTTTTTTTAAACTGGAAAAAATTCTGGGACAATGTTTCTGTGGTTAATGTTTATCAACTAAGTATTCTGAATCAGAAATTATGTTTTTCTTACTTTTATGACTTCCTTTATAAGTGGATTCTGTTTACGTTAGTACGTGAAAATATCACAGCACAGCATTCATTTGGACTATAGTAACTGGAGCAGAAATAAGCACAAATCAATGGGCTTGATCCCAGCTCTTTGAAGTTAATAAGTCTTTTCATTGACTTTGGATTGTGCCTCTAAGGCAAGTTGTTAATCAAGATCCACTCTAGTTTCATGTAACTCTTTTTACCTGCACAAGGAACGCATCTGACCTCATCACTGCCACATCCAAGCACATCACAGTCTTAGCACGTTTTCTGTCATGCCACTCCTGTGAAGTGTGAAAGTGCTCTTATCTCCATTTCATAGAATTGGAATTGAGGCACAAACTGCTGTGGCTCTGAAGCACCTAATTCCTCATTCAATCAATAGAAGTTAAGTACCTAAACAGACTTGCCAGCACCCATGACTTTGGCTTTAATCTGCTAACTACCTCCCTGAGATATTCCTACTGCGTTTTCAGGTATCTATGGTCCCCAGAACTCATCTCTTGGCCACTGACCTGCAGTGACCAGCCAGTCTATACATGCAAAGTGTTTCAGAATACATCTGTTTTACTATATATGCTGATAGCAATAATATTTTACATGTGGCAGAGTGTGCAGAACAGCTGTAGATTTATGTGAGGACATACAAAGAGTCATAATCAGGGGATGCAGGTGACCAATGACTCTCCAGCCATTAGTCTGGTTGTTAACTACGAGACCAACTTTCATTGCTGGGACAGCATTCTCTGTACCACCATCATATCCTGCACTGAAATCACTTTGCAAAAATGTCCTAAAATGAAATGAAATAGAACTAAGCAGTCACTACTAAAATCACATTCAGAGCCCAAGTAACTTACAAAATCATAGAATGGCTTGGGTTCAGAGTGACTTCAAACATCAATTAGTTCAAAACCCGACCAGATGAAAGTTAATTTAAATACAAGATGTCTGCATACAAATAATCAAAGTTACAAATCCAAAAGATAGCACTTAATGGATGTAAGGCAGAAACTGACATCTGATTTTTTTTTTTTTTAAATGAAAGGAAAACATCCCATGTATCTACCTGTATGAACCTTTCAGATCAGACCAGCAGTGTGACCCTGAAATTAATCCCCCAGATTTTCAGGAGAAATCTCTATAGCAAATCCCTATAGAGCATTATCTGGCACAGTTCATAGACTGATCTCAGAACACAGGGACTGAATTTTCTTTCAGTAACACTAAAACAGAATGTATGGTTCTATACTCCAACCACTACAGAACATTCAGCCCTGAGTACCAGACTAGCACCTGTCTGAAGTCTAAATACCCATATTATGGATGTTATCTCAGAATCAAGTACTTCATAACACAAACCTGCTTTCACAGAGCTGAAAACTGCACACCACACTAGCTTACATATTGTCTAAGTTGCCTGGAACATAAATGAGAAAGGAGAGAAAGTACAATTGATATTAATGTTTTTGTTGCTGCAGTGTAAGAAGTGCACAGTAAATAAATTTTAGACTTTTCTTCGAAATAAATGAAGCCAATTTGTATTTTGAAGTAGCCTATTACCCATTGACTTGATTCATTTGCTTATAAAGAAAATAAAAAGTGGACACACATTCTGAACACAAAAGCAAGGAAAATAAAACCAGCAGCAATAACAAAGAGAATCTAAGCTTAGAAGTCAAATATCTCATTAAGTCTTTAATATCCAACAATATCTCAGAAAGAAGATTAGAAAGAAACTACCATTATAAATTCCCACCTCACTGTAGGAAACGTACTGGATGTAAACTCCTCAAAGAAGTAGCTATCTTCCCTCTCTGTTTCTGTAATGCCCTATACAGCATATCGTTGCTTTCCCAACTAATACTGGTTTCTGGATAAATATATTCTGAACATCAGAGAGGCTCAGAGAGGCCTTTGCTCAAGAAAATGTATCTGTTAATGACTTGGAAAGAAGAAAAGAGAAACAGGTGACAAAGATTGCTTATGGCAGTAAAGTATTCATAATGAAAAAAAACATCCACCAAAAACAAAAACAAAAGCCAGCTATGGAGAGCTGTAAAAGGATTTCACAATATTGAATACCTGAGCAGTAAAATGACAGTGAAATTCAGCAATGATGTATGGGGGGTGGCAGGGGAAGATGAAGAAAGACAATCCCAAAGTAACAGACAGAACAATAGGCTCTGCATAACTATTTTATTTCAGGAGAGATTTATGTGGGTTTCAGTGTAGAGCCCTATGAAAACACAAGCTCCTTCCTCAGATTCTGTCAAAACCACTCAAATACAGCAGCAGGAATTATTAGGAAATAAACAGATTGACAAATAATTCTATTAGGTCACTGGACAATGTTCTCACATTTTAAACACTGGGTGTTATTCTTGTTCCTCCATCTTAAAAAAAAAAAAAAAAAAAGTAGTAGTGTAGTAGTAAAAAACACAGAAGAATAATAAGAGTGTTTGAAGAATGGAACAAAACATTTTTCTTAGAAGAAGGAAATAAATGAACTATTCAACTTGCAAAGGAAATAAATGAGAGGCAATTTGACCACAGCCTACAGGACTATGAATGGCCTGGAAGTGCCTACTGAACTACTGAATTATTCGCCCTTTCATAACACAAAACGTCCGAGTCTCAAATGAAACAAGAAGAATGAGATCCAAATCACAGACAGTTCCTGGATTTTTACCTGTTTACCAGTATGTCATAAACATCAAAACTTTACCTTAAGAGACAAAATTAACAGATATATTCTTGGAGAAGATATCAATCAATCCAAAAATACTAATATTGTCTCAGGAATCTGAGTTAGAAATTGTTGAATTCTGGAAAAAAATACAGGGAAATATTATTATGTACTCACATTGTTCTGACACTTTCCTCTCAACTGAGAGATTCAGTTTGATTTAGCAAGGCTGTTCTCATAGACATCATTGGAGAGTGAATAAAAATTACATGATAATAAGATTACCAGCACTGGTAGTCCGATCTAGCAATTTGTATGTAAAGAATCAGATTCGCTGTTTTTTATCTTGACAGTTTTTAAACCGTCTGATATTACCTCTACAAAATAAAATGACTAATACACGAATAGGGAGGAATATTTCTTTGCCTCTTACTACTGGCAAAAGCCCATACTAAAGGTAGACCAAACCATGCAGTGCTATGGTCTGGTTTATTGCTGTCTTATGTTAAATTAAATGAAGAATGGAATCAGTCAAGACTCTTCAGCAG